GAAATGAACTTTCCCTATTTCTCTCGATAAACTGATAGTAGTAAGTTCGATTCCATTTGAGATTAGGAGTGAGTACATATTCTAATTCAAGAACTTGATTGTATGGTTAAAACAACATAGTATGGAATAAATACGATCGATTGGCAGGGACGGATTTCGGTCCTTGAAGTCTACATTGAAACAGAGTAACTGGTCACAACAGTTATACGAAACACATTGTGATTAGAAGTTACAATTCAGACCACTGAAAAATGGGTGACTTGCAATTAGTAGTTTTCTCTGAGCTGGTTGGTTTAGTTGCGGAGCTTTCGTCGTCCTTCTGGACATCTTTTTTAGCACAAACTCAATAGATTTCAATTTTCCATGACTGATAGAATTGCGTCTCCCAGTAACCATCTTTACATATGTATTGATCGTTTTTTATTGACTCGGATTTTAAACTTTCTAGTTACATGATTTACTTCTTATTAGTTGGTATATTTCGCCTATATTAACGTGTTTGTTAATCACATATTCGTTTGAGTACCAGTCTCCTAGGAATTCTCTGGCACTCTTGGTATTTCCTCTGTTTAAAGTCTCGACATTATCCCAATCAAAATGATATACATAATTATCTACATGCATTGATATGAAAGAATAGGCATATCATGTCTTTTCACAGCTAATTTGTGTTCCTGGATTCTGATTCGAAGAGGGCACCCACTTTGGGTGATGTAATGTCTGTTAAAGTTCATACAGTTTATTTTGTAAACGGTATTAATTTTATCTCCTTTTTCTGTTGGATCTTTAGGACAACGAAAGGTCTCCAACTAAACTAGTCAGCTCAGAGAACACCGCTTATTGCAAATCATCCACCTGAGCTACAACTCTTCTCTATTATTTCAAGGTGATTGACCTAATCATTGAGTCTTCCATCCTTATTTTTCACATTAAAGAGTGTAGTCTACCAAAGTGAAGTAATATGAATATTTGCAGAATATTCTCGTTAACCTGTAACAGCGTACTTCTAGAATCTCGCTAAAAGCGTATGAGTCAAACTTCTTCAAGCCTCAGAAGCTATGGCGATTCACCTGCTAAATCCTGAACTCTACATACAAGAGAAATTTGTTCAGTCATTAAATCTATTTCAAATAAGTGATTAGATTTTACCTGGATGGTTCTGAGTAGCATTCATGTGGGAATTAAGTGTTTTAAACTGATTAAAGTAACTTCAGTTACACCACTGATCATCTCAGATTCATAAAGCAGACAGACACCATCCCTGGACATCATCGCTCTCCAGCTACTCATCATAACGAATAGTACACTATCTAAAAGAGCCTCCTACACTCAAGTAAGCTCCAACAAAAAACTGAGCTAGACAAGTTGGGCAACCGAAGTTTCTAATCTACATCACTGATTATGACAACATTATGCCTTTATTAACAATTAAGTACGACAAAATCGCCACTGTTTAAATTAACTTTAACATCCTTTCTCATGGCACTATTTAAATAGGGTGTTAATTACTTTGTACACTTGAAAGCTAAGTTCAAGTGAATTGAAGTTTTTACATTAGGCTTAGTGGAGTGTTAAGCCAATCATTAAGTGCAATGGAATACTGTGGGCCTGACAACTTTTTATATCGCATGGAAATTTTTATTCTGCATGAATACCCATATAAACTTTAAACATGATTTAGGTTATTCTGATTCTCACAAATAAGTGTGTAAACAGAACACCATTCAATAGAATAACACTTCTAATAATTTCATATCGTTCACTGTTACTTGGGAATGAAATTGTTTAAAAACACTCGGGGGAAATAGCTAACTCATTGGTGTGAAGTGGTAGGATGGGAAATAAGTTTTTTTAATGTCTGTTACTTCTGCATGGAATGAGTGACCGTATGATCTAACAGTTTAAATAGATATAAGACGCGCCTTAACATTTTGCAAAAACTGGCTATCACTTGCCAATGGAAAGTCACATATATGCTTAATAACCAGCAGAAGGTTCTGCAACGTGATCGATTTCATCATCCTAAGTAATATAAATCCCAAAGCAGCAGTTGAGTTCATAACTGCTTTGTATTCAGACAAGAAGACTAAAATAGACATTACCAACTAACCAGCTCGGAAAGACAGCTGAAAAGTCATATGACAAACGGTCGATCAGGAACCAGTTGACTGATATAAATGAAACAATATAAAACACCAGGAAAGTGTGACAACTAGAAAAATTTAAAATTAGTCCAGTGATGCCCTATAATTTCTCATAGGTAAACTATAAATGTTTAGTTACTTTGTTTAGGGGTGACTAACTATGGAAACTAAGATCTCCATTTCATCCCGTTTGGAAATTGTCATCCAGAAATTCCTGGTCCACATGGTCTAATAAATAATACTTTGTATAGTTTTGGTTTGTAAGGATTAGTTATGTTTTACGAGTTGATCACGGATTGATATCAGTTAGAGAACCATTGAAAACCAGGGAGTAATGGACAGCTGCTGTTTCATCCTAGTTTGGGAATCATCGGCAGTACGCACCCACTGGGTTTCGAACCCAGGACCTTCCGGTTACAAGGCAAGCTCGTATACCATTCAGCCACTGGGACCCGATTCAATGGCTCGTGAATTCTAACTTCTACCAATTCGTGATTTAGCGCGACCCCAACCATTGTCGTTGGTGGGACATCCATCCACACACGTGACATCTAATTGGACCTCACTGGTAAAACATAATTAATCCTTACAAACCAAAACTATAGAAAGTTAATCTGTTGCTCGCTAGTGACTTGCTACAGGTTGGAGTTTCCTGAGTTCTAGTGAGAAGTCGTGACCAGTGAGGTCCAATTAGATGTCACGTGTGTGGATGGATGTCCCACCAACGACAATGGTTGGGGTCGCGCTAAATCACGAATTGGTAGAAGTTAGAATTCACGAGCCATTGAATCGGGTCCCAGTGGCTGAATGGTATACGAGCTTGCCTTGTAACCGGAAGGTCCTGGGTTCGAAACCCAGTGGGTGCGTACTGCCGATGATTCCCAAACTAGGATGAAACAGCAGCTGTCCATTACTCCCTGGTTTTCAATGGTTCTCTAACTGATATCAATCCGTGATCAACTCGTAATACTTTGTGGTTTGAAACGATAGGTGCAGGGTTCAGTTCTCAATAGGAAGAAACCATCCCACCTCAAAATGAAGTATGCGCTGAAGGCGCTGTCCAGTAAGACAATGAAAGCTTCACAAACCATCAAACTCAGAGAGCACTACACCAAAACCATTCAAAACATCGCTGAAGCGTCCGTACTAGGAGCTGGCATGTCACCAGAGACTGAGCGTTTCAGTCCCATATAATCAATCAAAGGGAAATGGATGCGTACTTCTGTGGAGTCTCAAACTAGGTAGAAACAGCTGTCCAGTACTTCCTGATGGTTCTCCTATGGTTCTCTAACTGATGGCAACTCGTGGCCAAACCTGTAGAAAAAAATGTATATAAATGCCATTCTACAACTAGAGGCAATAATTCGTCGAAAAGTGACTGTTTGTTGAACCACGTGTCTTGTTTTTATTATTGACCGGATAGGAATTATTCGTTTACCATTCAACGCTTACGTATCATCTCTTGGCAGTTTCGCACTTTTAAACAATCTTCAACTTCCAGTCTTACAATTGAAATACTTTTGTAATTGCTCCAACACATATATATGTAACATGAATAATAAGGCCATGCATTCCCTCTTCCTACTTAATTACATAACATTAATGGTCTCTATCTTCAAGCTAAGGAACTAAAGTACATGAAAATTTTATATACTGATATTCACACTGTTATAGGATGTAAGTAATTAACAAGAACCACTGGAAATAAACTATGATATACTGATCATTTTCTTGTCCTCGCTGCGTTCAAGTTCATCAAGGGAAAAGAGTTTGTGAAATAACAAGTAACCAGGTTCAATAACTAGTAAGTTCAGAAATGGTTTGACAATACATGACTGGATAAAAACAATAAGAAGTGATGTGAAATTAAGACCTGAAAAGCAACAGGTTTTCTTCGTTTCAGTCGGCTATCCATCAATCAGACTCAGCTCAAATCAGTCCATAGGAAAGAATGGAACTCACGATCTCATTTCATCTAAGCTTTGATTAATCGGTTTAAACAATCGACTTTTATTGCCCTGAGTCTTTCTCCGCCTACTTCAGTCTGGGCAACAATGGTGACTATCATCAATTATCAGTTGATACGCGGCGCTTTTAGACTTCCGAGTAAATAAATTCTAACTATTGTAAGTGTAGATTATTGACAGTGTTGTGGTATGTAATTCTATACTAGATGAGACTATTTTGTATAACATACAGCAATACAGTATTGATAACTGAATGACGTTTCGAGCATAATTTATTGCTCTTAATAATATCGCTGTAAGTGTTTGATATACGATTATGCGCAGTATATTATTCTCGAAACGTCATTCAATTATCAATACTGTATCACTGTAAGTTATATAAAATGGCCTTACCTAATATGAATTCTAACCAACCAACCAATTTAATAAGAATCTCATTTCATCAGCTTATCTACAGTTCAGGCATCCATTTTCATAACAATGGATCAATTATGCAATATTATTTGAAACACATCAGACAGTTTGCCAATTTTGACGAAAAGTCTGAATGGAGACTTAAATTCGCTTATTTTGCATGCCATTATAAATAACCTTGAGACTGACCAATATCATTCGTAGGTGAAGACGCCAGATATCCACTATTATCATTACTGTTATCATTCAGTCTATTATTTAACTACTTTTTCAAAAACTTTTTTTGTCCTCTTCTCCTTAATTAGGAAAGACATATTCGAAATCAGACCTTCTAGGCGTTTACTTTTATATTTTTATTTTTGTTTTACGTTTCCAATGATTTACCCGATAAAACGTTTCGACTATTTTCTCCCCCTTTTCACGTTATATCACCATGGCTACTGAATAAATACCAAGTGCTTCATTTGAGAATTTCATAAATCAAATGAGAATACACAGTGAGCTGTAAAAGTATCGTCTAAGGAAGGTAAGTTACGTCTTAACTATTATTGAAAATATTCTTAATGCAGTGTGATATAATAGGACTGTAGGCACTCTTGCAGTAGCTTTCAAGAAGTCAGAAGTAAAATAGTGCATTCAAAGATTGTCTGATAATGAAGGTGGGGGTAAAATACAGACTGAGATCTGGCGAAACCTTGGCGCGAACACATTGAGTCTGGCTCGAAATTCGCTAACTCGCATCACTTTTGACACAGGCTTGATATCTGACCAACAATCGAAGGATGTGTGTACTGTGCAGTACTTGGTTCCTTTCTCCCTTACTTTTGTGAAATATGATTGTTGGAATTAAAGGTTAAGGCTGATGGCTTATGACTACACAAGTATAAGCTTTATCAGTCACGTTAAGTGGTGTAATTTCATTACTAAAACTGAGGACAAGCGTAGAGTGTTAGGTAGGAAAGTAAAGTCAATTAATAGGGCCATAAAGCCACACCAGTTGATATGAACACGGGTTAGTCACCCAAAGCCGATTTCTTCATCGGCAAATAAAGTTAGTTAAAAAAAGGGAATGGTTGAAATATAGTTGGTAATAGTCAGAACTCAACATGGTAGCAATCCATGAAAACCTTACACGGTTCGTTCAAGTAAGTCAGGGAGATAAAGCCTGTTTAACTGGTTCTTTGAGAGACACCGAATTACCACTTGGTGACCGCTGGTCACATGGCTGAAAACTAGTTACAACTCTCCTGACACTTTGACCCCTTTTTGACGTCCATAATCTGGAATTCTTTATTCATGCTTATCTAATTAGTCTCTTTTTGGCAGACCTTCGTTGACTGTAGCTTCAGTGAATTTCTTTACTCTGATTTTATGTGTATTCCTCAGAAAGATAACAGCAAAAGACAGTAGCACGTGTTGTGCATGGATCGGTCAGAAGACTAGTAATGTTGGGTGATTTTAGTACTAATACATCTCTTTTTCTTGGCATCAAACATGGTAATTTTATCATTATGTCTTCAACTTCTGATTATTAGTTTATTAGCTGTTAGTACTATTGTCACATACCAGGTATTTTGGTCTCTTTTGTTATCAGCGAAAACCTCCTGATTAGTTTCTATGCGTTTGCCTTTATAGTGAATATGTCTTTTCATTGTCCCTTTTGTTTCTAATTTTAAACTACCCAAAGTCGTCTTATATTCTATTTTCAAGGTTTAGTTTGTGTGTATTTGACCTGCTTTTCAAATTTGACCACGGACTGATATCAGTTAGAGAACCATTCAAAACCACCAACCGATTGCTCGACACCTGTTCCGCTCTAGTTTGAGATTCATCTGGGGTGAAAATTGCTACAAATGAAATCTCTACAAAATAACTCTTGCAACTTACTATGATGCTGTCTAATTACTGGCTACAGAACGAAATTGACCGGGTTTCTAATGAGAAGTTGTGACCAGTAGGGTCCAGCCAGAAGGGAGTGAGAACAAATACTCGCCGATAGTATTGACTGTGGTTACGCTTAACCCAGGAGTTGGTAGAAGCTAGAATTCATTGGCTGGCCGTCGAGACGGGTTCCAATGGCCTACCAGCTCCACTTGTGGCCGGAAGGTCCTTGGTTCGAATCCCGGTGGTGGATTCGTACTGGCTATAAGTCAGAAACCAGGACAAGACAGCTGCCCAGTACTTTCTGGTTCTCAGTAGTTCTCTGACTGATATCAATCTGAGATCAAACTTATATTTCATCGTATTTCATTTTATGAATTATGAAAAATTAGAAAACATTGTATGTGATATGTGGACTTGATATGATTATGAGCAATAATTTGTGCTCGAAACCTCGAAGTAAATATTGCAGTATAACACAGTGTAATTTGTCCAAATAAAATCATATCTACAATAGAGTTATAATCTACCACAATGCCCAAGTTATATACTTGTATGTGATGTGGACTTTCCTTATTTCTCCCACATTGTAATAAGGAAAACTGTGATAATAATAACATTTTTTTTTTTATTTTTTTGATTTACAGCTTGATTCCACACTGTATTTTTAGTACAAGTATGGAATTTTCAGCATGGATATCGGTAGCCCAAATTTTGCAGGCCGACCATAGATATCAGGTGTGCGTCGGTGCGGGCTCGAACCCCGGACCATGTGCATGGTCGGCGAGAGTCCTAACCACTGTGCCACCGACGCACCGACAGCAGGAGCTATGCTTTCATTATCACCCAGTAGTTTGTCTATTCTAATTCAAATACACTTATCACAATTTGAACAGAAAGGTAGGATGATCAGGCCTTAAATAGCGTGTTCAGTTGGCTACTACATACATGTTTACTTTCAATATGTGTGTTCGATGGTATGCGATCAGGACCCCAGTTATTTAAAAGAAACACTTGGCTAATTTTCGACTTGCTCCTTTCCACAAGTTAGGTTCTTTTGAATTAGTTAGATAATACTTTTATCAGGATATTATTTAGATTTAAAAAATTAATCAATAATCATTGTATTTATCAGAGTGTTTCTGACTGATTGATTTTCTCTCCTTCAAGTTCCCAGTGGAACATAGGGCTCCAAGCTAGAGGCTTGAAGTTTCTGTAGCAGTGTGAACTTCTACAGGATGAAATTGCTAGCCTCATGCCCAGCCTTACCCCTTTACCAGTCTCACTACTGGACTAGCCAGGTAAAGGATTTAGTCGGCCGGGGATCGAACCCCGGACCATGTGCATGATCGGCGAGAGTCCTAACCACTGTGCCACCGACGCCACCACTGATTGATTTTACCGATCGAAATGCCCAGTCTCTGTTGATCAGTCAGCTCCTAATATGAGAGATTTGATTATGCCTTCAGATAAAAATAATATTGCCCGGTTATTAGTAGCTAGCGATGGGATCAAGGACGCTTTTGAGGTCTCAATGATGGGTCATATATCCAAGTGTCAGTGGGAATACTACTGGCAAACGGGAACTTAAATCCATACACAGCTTACCACTCCCAAACAGGAAGAAACTTTGGCCGCCACCAAGCAGTAAAAACAACAGTTTGCGCAGAATTATTTCAAAGATGGTTTCTTCAGCAATCAAAGCCGTTTTCTAAACTACTAGAAATTTGAGATCCCTCTTAGTTCCTATGCTCGACATATCCAAATGTTCTAAAAGGTATTTAACCAGGGGCGATCAGAAGTGAGGCACCAAAATGTTACCATTAAGCTACTAAGTTATGATTTTGTGCTGCACGACGATCAAACACTTTTCTAACTACCATGAAATATCACCGATGAACAGCTGCTATCATGCTTTATTCGTCTGAATCCAGTTGTGATGAAATCCTACTAAAACCAAGCTTATCTGCCTGAAAATTTGTAACTAAGGAACAAGGAAATCGATGCTGTGGTTTTACGCTACCTTGGATTGGCCACCTTCAGTTTATATATTTGTAATGATTGACGGTTAAACGAAAATCTGACTAACTGACGGATTCAAACCAGCGGTTCTGTACCAGCTGCAACTGCTAACAACGTTATCATTCCTATCTTAGATAGTCTCACAGTCAATTAACAACCTGTTCAACTAATTTTAGTTCAGATAAATTAGGACTCAAAGAAAACCAAACTAGGTAGAGAGTGTAATGAGGATATAAAAAGAGTTATGTATCATCCTTTCATATAACATTAGGGCATTAGCTGTAGTGATTGCAGTCAAGTGAATATCTGGATGGTCTCTTATGTCATTCGATAAAGAAACAAACTTATAGTTCGGAGGCTGTTGCCTCAAGTCCATTACCATAGTAGAATATCACTTCAATCTCAATCACCCCTCATTAAATCGATAGCGGTCTTCAAATTCATAGTTACCTTAGATGGTTTCATAGTTTGAATGAATACCTAAAAGTCGTACAGCATTTTTTTTTACATTTTTACGTTTTCGTTTCAAAATGATAACAGTCAAGTATTGATTATTAGGGTGTGGTTAGAGGACTGTCACATGCATATGTTTATTCTAGCGGCAAGTAAAACAAACCTCTTTTTTTGAAAGACAGAAGGATGAAAAGATGTATTTTGTTGAGTAAGCTTTTGTTGACACGAACCAACTCCTTGGCTTTTAACTGGTCGCATTCTTATTTGTTGAGCACAATGTAGTATACTGCAAATAAAGGAAAATCTTCCTCTGCCTTACTTACTGAATCTGAAATGTTTCAAGGTGTGGTTCTGCCTCCTCTTTTCTTTTTTCTCTTCTTACATGACTTGTTTCTTTCGGAAGAAATCAACATCGTTAAATTCGCTGATGATTTGATTGTCTCATTCCTGGTTGCGTCCCGAACTGACTCTTCCAAAGTGAATAGCTTCCGTCAGACATGAATCATTGGTCTAACGTTAAATCCCTCCTAATGTCAGACAGTTAACTCTTCTTCAGGCGTAAAAATGATACACACGAACTTTTTCGTGTGTACAATAGAGGACACTGAATTAGAAACTAAGTCAAGCATAAAATACCTTGAAATAGTCCTATCCTCTGTCCTTTCTACGCCTTCCCACATCTTGTTGATTTCTAATAAAATGTTCCGTCTAACCCTCTACATTAAGAAGTTAAAACAATAAGGTAACACTTAACTTCTGCTTTGACAGTATTTTAACTTTTGCATTTTACCTATCTTTCTTTATTGCTCTGTCTTGGTCAGTTCTGGGCTATTCAGAAAAGTCTATGTCATATTTCGAAGGGTATTAAAAGTTTTCAGTAGGGTAAGTTGTGTTCCGCTAAGTCATCTCATCGTTACTTAAGTTGACAGACATTTGAACTAATGCGAGAAATGGGCTGAATCCACATTGTCTGACTCACAGTACCCTCTTTATTCACAAATCTCCCCTTGCATCTCACCAAGTAGGGCTAGGAGTCATTATATAAGATTATATGCTGGCTTAAATAAGGACAAAAACTCAATCATACCTTATCTGAACCTGGTTCTTTCTGATAGGGAATGTGTTAAGCATGATACTTATAAATTAGCATGTTATTAGCAAAATAAATGG